CATACACACATACTGCCCCGCATACACACACACTGCCCCCATACACTGCCGCCCCATACACACACATTGCCCACATTCACACACACACTGCAACTGTTACACACACATACTGTCCCACACATACACTGCATCCCTGACATACACTGCCCCCCCTACTCACACACTACAACCTTCACACACACACACACACACACACCGCTCACACACTGTCCCCCTCACACACACACACACTGCACCCCTTACACATTGCACCACTCACACACACCACTGCTCCTATGCCCTACTACCGCCCCATTTCCCAGCAGACCTCAGGTAAGTTGTCAAACTGTTCTTAAACGGTTTGACTACTTACTCTAGGAGGGGGTCCCGGCACTATTGACACCATAACCACTACACTGAGCTGTAGTAGTTATTGTGTCTGGATTATTTCTTTAAATAATCTACAAGTGCCCCTCCCGAGATCAGGCTCTGGATCCGCCACTGCTATTGGGTCAGCAAGAACAACAGTAGGGCACGTAGCAGGTTTAAATATGGGTAGAATGGGTTTAAATATAGGTAGGATGTAAAATTGGTTTGCATCATTCACATGCACCAAAAGGTCCAAGAGAAATGTGGAGTAGGCTTCACATCCCGATTGATGCCAGAAAGATGAGAGCAATCATTAGAATTAATATGGATGCTCTGAGTCACGTCAATAGTGATCCAGGGAAGATTAAAATCGTCAAGATCTATACGAACACTTTGAGCCGTTTCAATAATGATGGCAGATTTATAAAATCCAAATTCAGTATAAGTGTTCATACAGGTATAGGGTACCACGTCAAAACTGACACCTTGCGGTAGGGATATGTCTCTGTCATGCATAACAAGTATCCTGTAAGCTACAGAAAGCTAGTGTTCCCACCACGAAAGGTGGTCAAAGCAACTACACTGCCATGTGTAGCTGCATCAAATACTCAATACACAAAGGGTTAAAGAAGGCAATTATATTGACTATTCAATTCACAGAAATCCAGCAAGTCAAAAACAATTTTAAACATTAGAAAACTTAAAGATAAGATGATTTGACATTTAAGAAAATTTAGTGTGGGGACTTCCCTGGTAAATATCATGTAGCTGGGGTTATCCCCTTGATGAGTAAAACAAGGAAGATGTTATTGTCCCAAAGGCATCCAGTTAGTTAAAATGAAAATAGATGGTTAGCAAGTTTTGGTAATAAGCCACATCAAAAACCTTAATTTTATTCTCAGTCAGTTTAGTACATTTTGTTTAAACAAATGCTGAGCCTCTCTTCTAAGAATACAGTGTGAGATACCGAGTTACCTTAATACTTCTAAAGAAAAGTCAACAAAGAAACATGGAATGTGTTCCAATCATTTATGTGGGTAAATGCTAACTTAATTCAACTTTAAAGCAAAAGTCAGCTAACATCATATTGGATCATATCATATCATTACACCTAGCTCTTTGAGGCTTCTATCAAGGAGCAATACTTAAAAACCAATCCACTTCAAGAGGACTTAAAGAAAAAAAAGATTTACTGGCACTACAGATTTGCCAGTGGGCAGGCAACTAAAAGGAATAGATGGAGGTATTAGGAGACTTAGATCTGTGTCTGCAATCCCTTTCCCATGCTCAACAGTGACCTGAGCAGGGTAACCCCCAATTCCTGTGTAATTTTTGTAGTGGGGTATGACAAACAAGAATTGTCAACTTTCTGGAAATTACACCAGTAAAACATCAAAAATCACCTATAATTTGTGATTTGTGTAACCATATTTTTCATGTGATGCTCCATTTTTTAGCAATTGACGCCAAAATCCAGTTCAGCCAGGGCATATCAAGGGCACACCTTCCACTGGAGGATATATTATTTATTTATGTATTTATAAAATATTTTACCAGGAAAGATACATTGAGATTTCTCTCATTTTCAAGTATGTCCTGGGTCCACAAATACATAAACATTATCCTGCCTTATAATTAACAAGTCTATTCTTCCTGGCTTCGATATGGACATTACTAATGATTGTCTATTTGTAAAAGAGAAATGTAGTTGTTATTAAGAAGGACTATCTTTAATATTGGAAAAGGGGCATGGACATTTTTACTGTATAGATATCTAGCACGATTCATCCTAGTTTATGTACAATTCACAAAAATATAAAATTCTAGAAATTCTAAATATAAAATTCTGATTTCTGAATATCTTTATACAGTTGAAGGACTCCTGTCATACAGCCATTAAAGCTTAAATTGTCAGATTAAAAAAATATTGGGGAAAAAATTATACAAAAAGACATACGTTTCAGGTGAACAGAGGCTTAAGTAAATTGATAAGATTTAATACATGTATGTTTTTATTAAAATATGTTTTTAAAAATGGAGACACAAAAGCCAAGTATTGTTTTAACTTTTAATGTTTTAGCAGTTAGCTTATAAAATGTAAAGACATTTCAGAAATTTATGTGAATTTGACATATAAACAGTTAATATGAAATTATTGTATCATTAAAACATCTAGGATATCCCCATATACAGTGAATGCCTACAAAAAACAAAACATGGATATTAGTTGTTATAAGGGGATTTTCTAATCGAAATCAATTCTAATTCCCCCTAGAGTACTCTATTACTTATTCACACAATCAGTGGGATTCCTGGCATATAAATGAAAAAAACCCTAAAAAATACCCATAATAATTGGGGAAAATATGTTAAAAGCAACAAACAAATGATTTAAATATCCCAACTTGGAATTTTTTTATTATGAGTTATGCAAAATGAAAGTAAGTTTAAGTTTGTATTGCTTACGAGAAAAAAATTTTTGAGATAGGGCGGAAATTACAGAAAGTATAAGCTGGAGTATGAGTCACCTTCATCAGATTTATAAAAGGGTCTTCGTCACTTTGCTGCTGGCTTCTCAAAACGTCTCACAGGAGTCAACAGGACTGGGTGTTACAACTCATTTTGGATGGTTTGTTTTTATCAAAACTTTCTGTTAAATTGAAAGACCCCAGTGAAGCCCTAAGTAGATCGTTCAGATGTGGCAGGAAACAAAGGAAGTTAGTGGTATCCTTGTACTGAACATGTGTGCGTACCTTCTTCGTTCATGCTTAAGAGGAAGCCTGCTCAGGTATGTGGTTTATATATATATATATATATTTCTATTTATTTATTTTTCATCACTGGGATCTTTGTGCAAATGTGCAATTTAGGAAATGGAACACAGGCCCGATTTAATTAAAGGATATATTTTCTGCCTCTACGGCATTATTAAGTACAGAGAAAACGTTATCCCTTTTAAATAACATATACACTCTGATATTAGCCACATTAACACTGAGACAATACAATGACATGGGTGTGCTGTAACAGTGAAGTCATGTGACCGTTTTTGTTTGGCTTAGAATCTTAACCCTTTAAGGACCAAACTTCTGGAATAAAAGGGAATCATGACATGTCACACATGTCATATGTCCTTAAGGGGTTAAACAGGAAATATTTGTAGAAACCTTGTGTCTACTTATCTTGTTTCCACAGGTATATGTTTTACATTAGACCAGGTCTCATAAAGGGAAGCTAAAAGTTAAATAAGACATACACTTAGTATTTAATCCCGTTATAGATTATTTTCCAATTATATTTCTATATGCAATAACTATGCTTGTAAATATTCCATATAAATATTTGAGGATAAGGTAGAGACAAATAAATGTTCCTTTCTTCATTACTGCTGTTTCTACCATCTGATATTCTACCAATGTATCACAATCCATTATAATCAGAGCACTGGTTAAACTATGGATATATAAAACTACTCCTAAAGGTAACCCTAAACAACAGACAATAAACTATGTGCCATCAGAAGTTAAGATAAGAAGAGGGCCTCTTTACTTTCATTTTAAGTTTCTTTAAAAAGTTATAAAAAGCTTTTCTGTAAAAATAGAAGAGTCAGTTAAGATTTGATACAAATCCTTTAGGATCACTGTGTGCAAAACTGTATCTAAATGTATGGTGCTAATCATCAATGATGCCGTTTTAAAGAAAAAAAAAATTTAAGAAACTAAAAAGTAGACTTTGGGAAAAATTAATGGTGAGTTTAAAAGCCTTTAATCATTCAGGGTTAGCTGAACCAATTCAGCTAGTGTGACTTTAACTTTGAAATTCACTTTGACTTCCTGACTTTAGTAAATAGCCCTGATTGCGTTATTTACTAACATTTGACTTCTAACTAAGTTGTTGTTATAGCAGAATTATAGATTTTTCCATATAGGCGATTATGGCTGAAATTGTAGCCTACAGATTTCAATTCACTACAGTTTGGAGTATAGAGAAGAACCCTGTCAGGTCTTACAAAGATCAATGCAGTTCCCGTAAGAGTAGAAATAATTAAGACTTTAAGATCAGAACAAAGGGACACGCAAGCATGAGGTTCCTTTAAATATAGACTGACTTTCAGTATGCATAATTAATCTTCCGTCCAGCTAATATGTAACATAGACTACAGCCCTTCCAATCACAACATACTCATATTTTTGTTCTGCTATAAAAAGTGGTCTAAATTACTGAAGGGGGGCAATCACTATGGAAACCAGTAGGAACATTCCATTGGTGATTCCTCCCTTTTTTAAATTTTCCACCACTCTGAGGGCATCATGGGAGATGTACAGCACAGCATCTAGAATGGCCAAGATTGGCAACTAAAGCAATAGACAAAATGTTAAAATGGTTCAAGAATCTAGTGCAAAGATCCAATAAAGTTAGTGCTAATGACTACCCAACATGGCAACTTTCTGGTGTGCTTCTCTCGCAGTAAACAAACAATGCTTTGTCGATCTAACAGATATTTTCCTACCAGATGTAAAATTTGATCCATGGCCTTCCTTCGAGCTCCCGATTGCCTTTCTGTCTAGTCTAATTATTTTACATATCAGTTTGTTGATGCATGTTGAAAGTGGAAGGTCTATCATTGTTTACTTTCTGCTGTACCTTGTACAAATAACATTTGCGATGTAAAAATAGAATTATGTTTGACAGAAACGTTAATCAACAAGCCAGGTTTTTGCCAGACCATCAGAAAATCTCTTCAGACTTTCTGTTATACTAAAGCATTCATTTATCAAAGTGTCTCAAACAAAACTGTCTTTTGCTTGATAAATCAGCTCCGTAATAGAAACATCTCCAGTATAAAACATATATTTTTTTTCTCTCAGGTAGATACGTATGGGCCAAATGATTAAATCTCTTGTCTCCAGTACCCTGTCATCAGAGTGTCTGAACCTGTAATTGTAGTTTTGAAGATATTAATATTTATTAAAATACCAGTGAGAAAAACAACAGTTAATAATTAAGGAAATGTGTCCAAAGAAATGTGTGTCGAATCAAATTTAATGCATGTGATATCCTTGCATTTTATGTCAATATTGAACTATAAAAGGATATAATAATTTATAAGTGGCATATTAATACGTGGTTATTATAAATTTCTTATATTATTATTATTTTATTATTTATATAGCGCCAGTAAATTCCATAGTGCTGTACAATGGGATCTTAGATAAAGAATGAGTTCCTGATTGCTGAATGATGAAAATAAATATTGGTAGAACAGGGTTAAACTTTTAGCATGAGTGTTCACTAAGAGTGAGATTTGCAAACAGAGTTTCTTTCCTGATACAGTACTGAGAGGGTAGTGGATGCATGGAATAGCCATCCAGCTGAAGTGGTAGAGGTTAACACAGTGAAAGAGTTTAAGCATGCGTGGGATAGGCATAAGCCTATCTTAACTATAAGATAAGGCCAGGAGGGACTAATGAGAGTATTGAGCAGACTAGATGGGCCAAATGGTTCTTATCTGCCGTCACATTCTATGTTTCTATGTTGTTTTTTTTAGTAAGATTCAGTGGGGAGCTTGTATTTGCAGACGTGTGTTGTTGTTTTTTTCATAATAAAAGAATTTAGCATTGGAATATCTGCATAGAAAGGCTGCAGCTGCATGTCTAATATATATTCTAAAACTCTTACATTTGCAGACATCAACATGTAGTCTTAATTGTAGTAAATCATAAAAAGACAATAATCGATAAAAGTGTTTAACAATTTTAAAATTTTAGCACCAATGCCTCGAAAAAACTATCAGTATGATTTTGTGGTTTAAAAAAAAAAAAAAAACAAGAATGACTGCTGTGGCAATATATTGCTTGACTCAATAGGCAAGTTACCTTGTAAAGTATAGATAAATAGTGAATACTGACCGATTAGTTCAACTTAACATTTGAACATTTCGAGCTATGGTTTCATGACTCAAGTATGACTTTCTTGGAGTTTCCACCTCTGGTTCACGAAAGTAGCTATTACAGTCATTCCTCTAAATAGCTCCCTGTAAAAAACATTTTGTGGTTCAGAAAAAAAAATTCAGCAAACGCTGATAATTAAATAGCAAAAAATTCCCCATGTCATCAAGCATTGCGATTTGCATAGGTCGGTAGTAAAAGTGTACGTGTAGGAGTTAGGATCCTTACCTGATGAAGAAGTCAGAGATTGTCTGTGATGTACTTTCTACAGCTGTTCTGTAAACGTAATGGAAGGAAAGTTAAGTAGATAAAGATATAACGTTCAGTTCAAGAGAGGAAGTATTTGTCACATTTACCACTTCCTATTAAAACGATATATCATAGCTCTGTCATAAACCTCCAACAACAATGTAAATCTTCAAAAATAGTCACATTCTAAAGAGGCCTTCATTTAAACATTATTTCATGTCACTAGCCTAAAATCAATGTTGTTTGCAAACTAACATCGATATACGTAACTTTTATTTATTTATTTTTAAAACTTTATTTCTGGGTCACGAGCTACGTCCAGTTCCAGTTCTGAGAGATTGAGAAGAGCTGCCGCAGTAGGCTTTAGAACACATGAGAAAACAAGTCAATAAGATTTGCACTTCCAAAGCGATAGATCTGTGTCCGACCCTCAGGACATAACCATAGTACGATCCTGCCTCTCCAATTGCAGCAGTATGCATTAATAAGCATTATGGTTTCCGAAGAAATGAAGGCTCTTAGCAGTAGGTGATTAAAAAGTCCACGCTTTGATAAAATGAAAACAAATTAGAGAAGTATCTTTTAAAAGAAAAAAAAAAGAAAAATACATTTAAAAAAAACAAAAAACAACTATTAATGAGTAAGTTACAGATGGCAAAATAGCTGCAATATGTTTCACTTATGCAAAAGTAATTCCAATGGGGGGGATTATTTTCCTAGAAATCTGGATATCTTTTTGTTTTGCAGAAGGAAAAAAAAGATTTTTAATAGTTTTGAAATGCAGGGGTTCTAGTAACTAATAGCCTTATTCCATCACAGGAGAAAATCTGTTTACTTTATTTGACATCCGTTCAAACACCAAGCAGATACAGTTAGAGAGTTTTAACTAAACAGTAAATCGTGATGCTTTGAAAGGTAAAATCACTAAATCTGGGCAAAAATAACAGAGTTTCAAATATTCTCTAATTCAATTGTATTCCCAGCTTGGATCTCCAGGCCTTACATTTACAAAATGTTTTTTTAGATCAAAATAATTCACGGTTTAGTTAATAAATTGGAAAAATGTGCTTGAAAATCTGGCTTTAGGGAAATGATTATAGTGTTCTAAAATATATATTAAAAGGACCCTATTGGCAAAACGCCTAGTGAAGGCTCACTTCAGCAATATGAAATATTTAATAGCCATTCTGGAGCCATCGATTTAAGCCAGTGTTCACTCTTGGCCCTCCAGTGGTTCTGCATTTCTATTTACATAATTCTAGTACTTATCATCTCTAGTGCCATAGATAGCTGTACAAAACAGGCATACAGGGAAATACTTTTGATATTCGACATGCAAATGGTGGATAAACCCTTTTGAAATAATTCTGCTTCTGCTACACAAAGGACCAGGCTGTATAAACTATAAATTTGCTTTGTGCTTTATTTATTATTTATTTATTTATTACTGGTATTTATAAAGCACCAACAGATTCTGCAGCGCTGTACAATTGGTGGAGAACGTACAATATACACAGACAAATACAAGAGGTAGAGAGAGCTTTGTTAACTAAACATTGCTACTGCATCTGACAGCCATAGCTTTGTAAAGTTAGCATTGTCTACTCATGGCATCAATCACATTTTTTGTGGGTAAGCCTTTCAAATGAGGATCAAATTATATTTTCAGATGCATCTTTAAAATCATTTTGATATATTGATATTTTTTTATATGTATTATTTTATTTTTTTTACATTGTAATATTTGGAGAAAAAAAAATATTTGAAACGATTATCCAAAAATATTGATAGAAGCTGCTATAATCTGTTACAGTCAAGTGGCTCTAAGGTTGCAGAAGACCTCAATAAGATTGTATTAATTGTCACAGGAAGAACTTATATCTTTCCTCAGGATCTTGAAGTGATATAATGTATATTGAATTGAACACAACATTGTAGAGCCAAATGTCTTTACATTATCTTCTGACATCAATTCCCTTAGCATGCTATAGCAAGGAAAAAAAGGCTGGCTTACTGAGCTAGACTCTGGATTTATAGGCTAGGTCCTACGAGGCTCAGGCACGTACTACACAAGAAAGCAATTTAACATACTTTTATCCAAACACACTCATATATTTTGTACAAGTATTGCATTGCTTTATTAAAATACTGGCAGTTATCTCAGGTGCAAAATACCCACCAAAAAAAAAAAAAAAACAAAGACCACAAGCTATTCCACAAAATAGCAGTAATTGCTGATTTTGGCATTAACGATGTTTGTAAACAACATTCCATTTGATGCCGTACAGCTAACTGTAGTTCGCATGCATCTGCTGTGCCAAGCATTGCTGATACATAACACTGTAATTACCATTGTGATGAGGTCCATTTACTGCGGATAGACAGAACACTATGACAAAATAGCCAGCAAAGCTTACATAGGAGCTAATGTAACCGGCTGTTTTATATTCTCTAAGCATTGTTGAGCTGCACAGGAAAAGCAGATTCATATGAGTTGGTTGCTATCACAGCCATTGTTGTTTAATATTATATCCTGTACTGTTGAACTTGTGAAATAATAGTTTTAGTTTAAGTAAGGAAAGATTTAAGTGTGGGGGGTAGAATTTTAAATTGAACCATAAAATGTATAGGACAACAGTGCTTTTTCAAGAAGAAGGAACTGCACTCCATCCCATCACTCTGAGCCAGGGTGCAACCAAACCAGGACCAATCACCAGGTCCCAAGAACAGTGTGCATAAAGTACAAGAAGGTTTAGGCACTCCAAGGTTCAGAAACGGCAATTTTTTGAAGCCCAATGTAACACAATGTTTCGAACAACACGGTCTTTGTCAAGCTATATGCAAAGAATGCGAGGACTGGCAGAAGGACATGTGAGGGAGGAGCAATAGGTTAAGAGGCTGAGCCTGACAGTACGATGGAATGCTAAGGATGCAAAATGAATCAGCGCATGACATCACTAAAAATATGGATTTTTATGGATTTTTTTATTTTTTTTAAATCTAGGGAAAATATAATAAGTCAAGGAAAGGCATCCAATAACAACAGGACAGTCCATAATAAGTTTGCTAAGCATGAATTCCAGTGTGAGTGCAAATAGTTCACGATGTCTACAGTTTTTAGTATTTTTTTGTTTCCATGGTGCCAGGATCCCATAAGCAAGTCAATAATCACAACACAAATCAAACGTTAAAACAGTTTATTATATGGGTTTTTTTGTTTTTTTTTAGCAATCACATATCAATGGTATAAAAGACCTAATCTTGAATCGAGCTTCACCTCTTCCCCCAAGGATGTATTTCATATTTACAGATCACAAAAGCCTTTACACTCTCCCATTCTTTGTGCTGTGAAGCAAAACCAATTAGTTTTGAGTGTATAACATTATGTGAGAACCAATGGGTTTTTTTTTTTTTTTTTATATGAAATTGTTACCGCGTAGGTGATAGCAGTTGAGAAAGCAACTTTAAAGGAATCATCTCTCAAGAGTTTCTTGGGATGCGTATGCACTGAAAATGAAAAACAGCCATTGTATAGCTTCAAGTAAACATTGTCTGCGAATTGAGTCGAATTTTCCCTTGTAATTCAGTCCCTGCGGAAAAATGCACGTGATTTAGTGTATGAGTTTAAGCTCCCAGTACTTATTATGACTTATAATTTTATTTTTCATGCTACATTTACTTTAGATCTCCAATTAACTTTTTGCCCTCGTGTTCTGTGCAATAGCTGTTTCATTTGCTAAAGGCACTTTTAAAGTATCTTTAGAGTATTTTTTTTCTGTGGTGTAATAACTATAACCATTCTAAATGAACTAAAGATATAAATCAGATATGTTCAGGTGTATTAGAAATAAATATGAATGAATGATGCACTCCTTATTGGGTGCTTTAGTGAAAGCACAGATCACTAACTCATTTCAGTGGAATGCCTGAACTCTGGAGACTGCAAAATGTTTAGTTTCTCTAAACAACTGTACCCCTGGGCCGTAAACTCCATAAAGCCTCAGGAAGATTAGAAAAAAAAGATGGTTGATTTAATTTTGTTTACTCTGGCGTATCACAAATCAAATAAACTTTGGTTACAGTATCCAAAATGAGCACAATTTAGAACAGAGAGTTTCAGTCTGATTCCATTTGTGAGATGTTGGTAAATATGTTTATATTATATTTATTTGCCATAATTTGGTAGTTTATTGTAATCCATTTACAAGGAATTTGTAGACTCAGATTATGGAATAATTTAATTCTCTTCTCATACAGCTGCATATGCTAGAAAATACATTTCCAGCAAAAAGTAACTAGTTCGGTATTGCTCATAGACAGAACTCATGACTGTTGGGGGTGATTGATACACAGAATTCATTCCTGGTGGCATTGTTAGGGCCGTAACAGACTTTGAAGGGCGACGGAGCTTTCTGGGTCTGGAATCATAAGGACATTTACTGGAGGACATGCATAAGGATATATGATCCGCTGCAAGCAACACAACCGTTTACTATTAACTGACGATGAAGTTTAGAGACTCTGTGATCATATATGTTGCATATTGTATATTAGTGGCCTACATACGCATATTCTATATTATGCACAAAACCTTTTTGTTTTATAGTAGAATTTCATCATCTGACAGCAATTCCCATAATTGACAGACAGACAGACAGATAGATAGGCATTACACTCCGATACAGGAACATCCTCATTGGCTGTTGGCTCTTGGCTGATGCTCTCAAACAGCTAGAGTAGCGATGTACAGCTCAGTGAAGCTGGCCAAATTCTCCAGCAAGGAATGTCCAGCAACAGGGAGGTGGCTATGGGTTCCCAGCAGGACACAGGTACGTTATCAAACTGTTCTAAAATGGTTTGACAAATTATCGTGAGAGGGCACTAGTGCACTCTTGGGGCTATAACCACAGAGCGCTATAATGGTTAATGTGTTCGGCGTGTTCCTTTAAGGCTACATGAAACGCTAGGTTTGTGTGGTAATTATGAGTTGTATGTTGTGAAGTATAGGTAATGGGAAAGGGAGATTATCTGGGGGGTTTTTAGCTTAAGAAGGGTATTAATTATACCATCTCCATCTATACTCATATATTTTTAAATCAGCGTATTTTCTATTATTGACTGTGTGGTAGTCATCACTTGCTTTGAGTTTATTTTCTGGTGGAATTTTATTTTTTAAATGTACTTAATGTATGGAGCTTACAAAATCCCCTTATACAGAATAGATAAGTAGAAGATTGTAGTCTATGGGATACAAGACCTAAATAAGATCAGCAAAATGTTATCACAAGGTTAATGACTAATTAATCATTGTCTTTAAGTTAATCATTGGGATTTTTTGTGGAGGGAGGATGGGAGGGGTTGGCATATATGTTTGTTAAAATAAAGAACAATGTGTTTTCTCCACAGGTGCTGGTTATCGAGAAGAATTCAGGAACTGTATTTAGGGACTGTATGGTGTTAATGCTAATCGTGATAGGGGTTTTAAATTTAACAGACTCCTACATGTTAGCATTAATATTATGCCACGTCTCTTTACCAGAATTCACACACACGAGAGTTCAACTGTGGGAGGACTAGAAAGAGGTGACTCTGAGTCAGTATTCTGGGAAAACTATGCCTTTTAAAAGAATATACAGCTGTAAATATTTTAAATATTTTATTGTAATTTGAGAGTCAGTTGAGTGATGTGCTATAGCTTAGATAATTGGTTATTTTTTTGTACATGCAATATGTTTATTATGGTCATGACATCACAAATTATTTCTATGCATGAACACGATTAAACCAAGATCACAACTCAACTACATTAATTATCACATGGATCTCCAAAGTACTGTAAATGAGGGCAGTCTACCACAGTTGGCTACAGTCATGACTTGTCCATCGCCATGAAGAAGAGAGTAATGTCCATGTCATCATGCTGCATATGTCAACACAAAGGAGAGGAAATTGAACGTCCTAAAATGACTGTGTTCTAAATTTTGATCAATACTATCACTGATAGTGGGGCTAATCGAATGGGAATGTGAGCTTGCCAAGAATGTGTTATAAACGTTTGAGTCACACTATTTGTTTAATGTTGGGCACTCCTCTAGTGCTCCAAGTCTTATTGTGTACAATGGCATTGGTCATATCACAAATTGCTTCTTTTGTAGATCTGTTGGTCTCTAAACTCGTTGGTTAAAATTGCAGGTGCAATAAAGTAAGTTAAATTTAATAACACACCAGGATGATTGATAGTCTCCTGGCCAGCCCAACACACCGGAGATCGTGCAAAGAGGTTTCAATTAGGAAATCTCCTATGGAGTACTGGTGATCAACTGATATATGACTAGCTACCCACTCAAAACCCTGTGTGAGAATTTTGACGGAAGATCGGGAGACGAGGTGAAAGGCAATGTCGTCAAAACTTTGGGGTTAAACAGCACTTTTTTGCATACTGTCTGGGTTGCCCCCACTTGTGCCCTGAACAAATGGGGAGTGAAGCTTCTTACAGAGAGGCATTGTTTCAGTCTTTGTAAGAAGCACTGTGGGTAAACCCATTGAATGCCACACATGTGTACTACATTACTTCTCTATGAGAAGCTTTGGGTTGATATGGAGACCATCAGTGCTAATCACCTTCTGGATGCAGAGCTCTGGCAAGGGACATCATGCCTTTGGATTCGAGGTATGTTAACTCTTTATTTTGAGTCTCAGCTTGGGGCAGTAATCTAAAGAGGCCAAAAAACCATCCAGCATTATAAATAAATATATTTATTTATAAAATTGGAGAGGCATTTCAGACTCACTCAAGTATAACATGCAGATTGGATTACAGTTATTTATGTTGAGGGAGTTATTTTCAATACTCTTCTTCTTAATAATATATATTTTTGTTTCATAAGCCCATTCTTTTTCTCTTCCCTCACAAGCAGTTAAAGGAACACTTTAGTGTTAGGAATAGATAGATTTATTTCTAAAAGTGTGTTCCTCAGCCACTAATCTTATTACTGTAATGTAAACATTGCAGTTTCTCTAAAACTAAGGTCTAAGGGGACAGGGAGAGTGCGCCCAATCCACTTCAATGAGATGAAGTGCTTTGGGTGCCTATAGTGTCCCTTTAACCTCTTAAGGACACATGACATGTGTGACATGTCATGATTCCCTTTTATTCCAGAAGTTTGGTCCTTAAGGGGTTAAAGGCACACTATAGTCACCAAAACAACTTTAGCTTGATGAAGCAATTTTGGTGTATATATCATGTCCCTGCAGTCTCACTGCTCAATTCTCTGCCATCTAGGAGTTAAATCACTTTTTTTATGCCGCCTGGGCTTACATCCCTGCATGTGACTTACACATAAACACGTCCTGTAAAGAGTCATCTACTTTTTACACTTCCTTTACTGAAAATTCTGTTCAATTTAGAATTTCTTATCCCCTGTTCTGCTAATAGCTTGCGAGGCACTGCAGTAGCCTCCTGTATGTAATTAAAGTATAATTTACAGAACAGGAGATAAAAAAACTTTTAAAGTAAGATATATCTGATTGAAAATGAAACCATTTTGGTTGTATGCAGGCTGTGCCAGTCACAGCCAGGGTAGGTGTGTCTAGAGCTGCATAAACAGAAACAAAAGTCATTTAACTCCTAAATGTCAGAGAATTGAGCAGTGAAACTTCAGAGGCATGATCTGTTCACAAAAACTACTTCATTAAGCTAAAGTTGATTTGATGACTATAGTGGCCCTTTAACTGTCAATACTAGAACGCTGTCAAGTGAACTATAACGCCCAGAAACCCTTGTAGAACTGATTGCCAAACATTTATGTATCAGATAAGCTCAGGTGAACTATACAAAGTTAAGTTTGTATAGTGATTGGTGATTGGTTGAATCTCTTCCTGGTCTGGACAAAGCTCCCTATAGACATTGTAAAGCCTGGGAATATTTATAACAAATACAGGAATGGCATTTGTGAAAATATTTGTTATTTTACTTTGCATTTATTGTTTTGGAAGAACTTTTAGTGCAGTAAATGCAATGTATTAGAAAAAAAGGCCATCTACAGTCCATTTCCACATTTAATGCAGGTTTTTTTTCACAGTATGTATCTAACACTGTGAAATACAAATACAAAGGTCCTTCTCAGCAGGACAACAGAGAATAGAGATCTCAGAAACATTTAAAAAAAAAAAAAAAAGAAAACCCAAAACCGGAAACGTTCTAACATTTTTATGGAATTGACAGTATTGATGTTAAACTATTTGCAACATTTCAAGTTATATTCACACATTAAAAGGCCTGCCACACTTTGCTTGACATTATCCACTTACTTAAAGGAGAAAAAAAACGAGATGTTTAGATGCATTATCATTGAAAAATAAATATATACAATTATCACAGGCATATTCACAAATGTATCAATAGAAGCTATTTTACCTTTGAAATATATCATTATTTTTTGGAAAATAATACATTTAACTGCCATAAGAAAAACTACTGACTCTCTGCAATAAATGTGCACTTTATACTTATTTTGAATCTTATTTGGATTAAGAAAATAAGGCTCATTTTATTGATTGTAACATTTAGACAAAGTATCTATTAGAATGTTACAAATAAATGTAATAGAACAGAGCTGATTTAAAAAAGCTTTTTTTTTTATTTCATTGCATATTCATCCAATTAAAGATATCAATAAAATGTACATTTACTCTTGCCATTAGCTGCAATGTTGGCAGTACCTAATACTTAAATGTTCCAAAATGGACTTTATTTCCGAGATTATTCTGTTTTATTTGGGTATAAATATTATTCTTTAAAGGTTGTTTCAAAAAGTTTAATAAAAACCTAAATTAAAATAAAAAAATAGAATTTATTTTCTATATTATATGTCTCTGTTCTTTACAATCTTTAGAACCCAGAGTAGTCATTTAGATATCCTTGTGAAGCTAACGCCCATCGTGCTTCGTTGGCTAGATTGACGGCAAAACATCATATTTTTTCCCTCAAATTATTTGATGCACTACATACTGGGTATGACTTATGTAAACCATCAATTTCCTTAGTTTAATTTTATATTCTCTGTCTGACTGTCAAAGTCTGCCACCTGCTGTATTGTTGCTTTCGTTTCATTGCTTAAAATTTACAGTTGGTTCTTTGAAAACAATAAATCTACCTATTTTCATCATACATTCGAAAAAGTTGATCATTTACCTTGGACATTTGATCCTAGCTATAAGAAATCTTGCATAACCTGCTTCCATGTTCCCAAGAAAAATATATTTTAAAGAAATGCACGTTATAATCTATTGAAATTGTTCTACTTCGGTTTTTTCGCTGTGAGATTCCATGTTATGGATAGTTCTTCAAAAAATTAAAAACTACTTTTTGCTCCTGATAAATGGGTGCAGTTGAACTTTGATTCCTAAGTGCAGGATGCATCGATAAACAGTTCAAGCTTTAATTTTAAGTTCACATAAAGTGATGGCATAACCATTTGAAAAAAAGATATAATATATAATTTAATATATAATAATAATAATATATCATTTTTACTGTATTTATTTTATCTATGTTAGCAACATCCATCGCCCAACAACAAAGTCAAGAAGATTGTTTTTGCTCTGAAAAATGTTAATGCTGTCTATGACTGGGGTTCATACGTAATACAGACCCCAACATGTCAGCGTTACCACTTTCAGATGGTACATTGATCTGCTGGTCATGACTTTTACACCATGGAGGGCAATGGTACGTAACTACGGATGTTCATGAAAAAATGTTTTGGGTAGTGGAAAAACATGGAATACTGTGATGACTCTTGAGATTGTATACCTGGGTGAATGTTGTATTATATTGACAACCACCTTGCAATATGTACCACACCTGTTCAATAAACTGACATTTTCATTGGAGTTTTGGTTCAAATTTAGGCCATTAATACCTGAGTTAGAAAAGTAGCTAATCACAAGAATTACTCAACTTCAAATAATTGGTCTAAAATGAGCATTTCCTTTGCAGAGTTCTTAAAATTCACAGCTGAATGAATAACCCCATAGTTTTTATTTTTATTTTGTGCTTTTATTGTTTTTTTGCCTTTCTTGACCTGATCTAAGTTATTGTAGCTGTTGTGGTGTTCTGTTGTGTTTTCAATTTTTACTCTCTGCTAAACGTTTTTTTTCACCCAAACAGTTTTGACTGGAAACAATGCTCAATAAAATACAAAACTTAAAATTAACATTTGGGTTTTCATTTAATATGCTTGGGGGAGTAAAAGTTGTTCCTTTACATGTTTTACACTTTCCTTATGTTACCTGCTCATGAATTATAAAATCAAGCTTGATAAGAGTAGTTTAAAAATATTGCTAGAATTATAAGTTCTCTGCCAGAGTCATGATTTTTGGTTGACACCCAAAACACTTCCAGCAGCTTTCCCATCTCCTCCTGTACAAACTATAAAGCACTATACCGGGCTTCCCCAAACTCCGGCCCCCCAGATGTTGCTGAACTACAGCTCCCATGATTCTATGAATGAAATAGGCTGAGAATCATGGGAGTTGTAGTTCAGCAACATCTGGAGGGCCGGAGTTTGCGGAAGCCTGCACTAAACTGTGAAATATGGCAAGCTGATAAAGGGAAAGGTTATTTAGGTCAAAATAACTTGTTTACAAGCACTTTCAAGTTCCAGCTATTTCAGCACGGCTATAATGGCCTACAAATTACCATTGCATTGACATTTTCCCACAATTCCTAGTTTGGTAAAAATAAAAACCCCTATGTAATGTAAACCCAGTGTACACAAACATTGCTAAAGATTATTGTCTTCAAGTCACAATGCCATTGCTTCTCTCCCTCTCATCCTATACATATCAGGAGCACGCCATATAAACTCTGACTAGGCCTTTGCCCTACAACAAAGCTTGGTAAAGAACCTATCTCTACCTCATCAGCTGGAGCGCCTCAAACAAACCTAGAACCACATGCTGCCTTCACTGCTTCGAGTTCGAGTTTTCGGTGCAGCATTTTCTCTGCCGGTTGCATGTTAAGGTAAAACTATTGCTCTAGAAATATATAACCTGAGAAGATTTCACACATAATACAATAATATTTAATATAATGACACTAAATTAATTATTAAAATGCTACGTATATAAAATGTTTAATAACATGTTAAAACAAGTATTATATACAAATTGTACCTTACTTTACATATTTTAATGAGGGCCTCTTTATTATAATTTTTTTTGACCAAATAGCTTTTAAAAAAAGTAAGTTTATTGCACATATTTTGGCAATTTACAGGAGGACCACTATTTAGAAAAGCATGTTCTAGTTGCGCCCTCCCCCAATTCCCTTCTTTTTTTCTCTGTATATTTCCAGCGTTATTTATTAGAATAAGAATTCAAACTAAATTGAATTTAAAAAAAAAATTTAATTTTAAAAATAAATAAATAAATAGAATTTCAAGTTTAGGGCCAGATTAGCCGAAGCGAATGCACATCTGACTTTGCCTGTTCGGTTATTTACACCTTCAGTTTGAATTCTCAGTTTAGTGAATAACCCTGTTTACCACTTAAGGACGCAACTTCTGAAATAAAATGGAATCATGACGTCATGATGGAACATTTCCGTCATGTGTCCTGAAGTGGTTAAAGTCCCCACCAGATTCCTCTTGGGTTGTGCCCTTTTGGAAGTGAGCGGGAAAGCAAACATTTGAGGAGAGTCTCTGGTAGCAGTTCAAGTGGTAAGTATTGCAGTTAGCATGTTCATCTCCCATGTTAAGATTAGTGTAGGACCTGCTGATATTCCGATATATTTTGATGCAGTGGTGGGTTTAAACATGGTGGACCATATGGTATGATTAAGTCCCCATAGGTATTTGCTACAAGAGGTAATTTTAAGTAGCTTTCTAAGATTGTATATTGTATCTTTGTAAGGGCACTATTCCCTTAACGAGGAGGTTTCACATATTTTGGTATGCACTGTCGGATCACTATTAAGAATTGCAAGTTTGGAATTGGAATCTTATTTTTTCCTTTCAAGTAAGACCTACCCCACTTTATATTAAAAAGTACCCATGCCCCAATCCATCCATTGTCCTACCACCTGTCTTCATAGAAAATGGTTCAGCCAATCTGTTTTTTTAAGTCATGCACACGTCTAATAGCTAATTGAGAATATATCCTCCACTTTTTTTGACTCATAATCCCTTTTCTGGAAATTTCTCCCACTGCCTGAGCAAAATGCTGACTCCATCTCCCGACACATCACAGAAATTCCAGTCCACCTCCAGAACATTTCTCATTATTCCACTTTCCAGAAAGAAAGTCAGTCAAATCTGCAAAACATGGCATAGTTTTCCAGAAACTATATCTTCCCCCCAGCTGAAAATCTCTGAGAATGACTCCGTTCCAAAAGTCAAATTGCAGCTGATATTTCTTTCTAACAGTGTTCTCTTGTGTATAGTGCTCTGTTTGGTTTGCAAAAGTAATCTGACCTCTGATCAGTTCTCCCTTATGACTAAGTTACAAAGGATATACTGAAATTGTATTTTGTATATTTTATTTGAACACATAGGAACAACAACAAAAACAAGTACTTTAAGGTGACATTTGGATTATCTTGGTAAATTGGTAAGAGAAAAAAAAGTTATGTATTAATATTTAAATATTTTTACAGGCAAAATAAAAATAAAATGTAATACATTTCTTTTTTTCCTTGATAAAGTCACTATATTGGGCCATCTTTGTTTTCATTGAGCCATGGAGCGTCCTACTTAGATTGTTCTCTCATAGCAGTCTATTAACACATTCCATCTGGCCATAGCAGGGTCCTGTACTTGCCTCAAATATTCAGAGAGGAAGGGGGCTTATTAATTTTCTTATTTCAACTAAGCATTCCTTAAAGGACCACTCTAGGCACCCAGACCACTTCAGCTTAATGAAGTGGTCTGGGTGCCTGGTCCAGCTAGGGTTAACCCATTTTTTTTTAATAAACATAGCAGTAGCCGCTAGAGGTGTTTGCGTGCTTCTCACTGTGAAAATCACAGTGAGAACACGCAAGCGTCCATAGGAAAGCATTGTGAATGCTTTCCTATGAGACTGGCTGAATGCATGCGCAGCTCCTGCCACGCATGCGCTCCCCGCCAGGCGCTGGAGAAAGAGGTAAGTTTAACCCCTTCCTCACCCCAGAGCCCAGCGGGAGTATGTTTTCCTGGCACTATAGTGGTCCTTTAATTTTGCTCTGCCTCAGATTTTGGGCAAGATGAGTAAGGCTCTGGCTGTTGACCCCTCTCTTTTTACAGTGTCCCCCTGCTTGTGAGAGCTGAGATCAAGAGGCTTGCACATGGACATCCTTCGTGTCAGCAGCGCATTAAGAATACTATGTGAGAGCTGTACAATAATGGATCTTACACCTGTAGAACTACGATAAAAGCAAGGCAATACAGCTGGTGAGGCGCAGGACAAAAAGTGTGCTAAAATGAGGTTACCAAGGGAAGAGAACTGAAATTAATGGTCAGTGCTGACTGAAGAAAGCTACATCAAAGAGTCATGTGTTCACGTTCTTCTGATTTGTGCAATAGTCGTCCATTGCTCTGGGGTCCACGGTGACCTACATGGAGTGTTCCACTGCTAGGTATTAGTGCTTACAACAATAACACCCCAAATAATAGGGGCACTACATCACATGTAAAAATAAATAAGACAACACCAGGAGTAAAGGGAGTTTGAGTACCTGGCTAGTATAAATGTTTTTATCTGCTTTTAACTCACACAACATTTTTACAATGTTGCCACCTACCCCCATGTGTTTACTATTCACTAACCAGTTTGTAGGGTTGAAATGCCTCTTTATTCTGTTTAGACAATTTGTTTGTTTTAGAAAGCAGTAAGGTGAACTGTTAGTGCAGGACTCAAGTAACAGGTTTCCCTTAACATTGACAGGTATACTCACAGCGATGGCAGTGGTACTACAACATTTATTTTTTTTAGACGGCAAAAAAGATGAGTTGACTCCACTGGGGAAAAAAAAAACAACAGTATCCCAGATGTTTGAACTGGTCCTACAGCTGGTGCCTTAATCAAACAAGGTATCTCATTCACGTTATATGAATGAAAAAGTGAGCACAGAAATTCAATTTACATGTCTGCCCCTTTTTTGATCTATATCTTAAAATGTGATTTAAAAAAAAAATTGATTTCATCTACCAACACACACTTCATTTTTTAGTCAGCACTATTTTCTGCCTAGTTCAAAATATTCCTCTCTTTATTTGCATACTAAATTGTACTTATGTCTGTGTTTTTTTATTTGAATATTTGTATTTTTATAGATAGCTGAGACAGATACATCTAGCTACATATTCCGCTTCACTAATCCTCCTTTCCCCATTTGCAGGACGCATACAGATTTTATTTACACTACATGGAACAAATTTCAAACTCATGAAAAGCTAACAGATTACACAGACTGGGTAAATACGTGTTTTATTTTTTTTTTAAGGAATTACATTTGTAAAACAATGTCAGCGATAAAAAGATTTTGCTTCTATCAGAGATTAGAAAAATAAAATGCAAACTGAGTGAGTTTTATTAATATGGAATAGTAAAACAATACAGAAACTATTGTCGGATGGCTAAAGGGAGCACATCGAGAAAAGCCTCTGGTGGACCACAGCTTAAAGTAAAGATGTAAG